TATATCTATATCTATATCTATATCTATATCTATATCTATATCTATGCTTACAGATACCTTATCATTCCCTCCAAAGTTAGATACAGCACATATTTTTCTGCTTTCTTCAGCCACAATTTATAAAAGATCATTGTAGTAATTCCCTGGGTATGACAAGATGGTCTCAATTCAGCATTTCCTCATACCCCAAAACATGCCAGAGGTGTGTGTGAAGCAGCACAGGTGGCTCTTCATTTTCCTACCTATGCCTTTTTGTATCTGGATTTCCAGTGGTTGAATGCAGCCACTCAGCCAGAACTTTCTTTGGCTCAGCCTAACACAATAAGCATCCTAACCCCAGGGCAAGAAAGAGGAAGACAGTGAGGGAAGGTGAGAGGAAGCATTCATGGAGAAAGCGCCAGACAGTCTCTCTGATGGCATCATCAAGGTCTGACATGATGGTGTAATTTTAAATCTCTGCCCTCTTTGGAGAGTCTGCATCAAAGCTGCTGAGATGCGGTTTCGTCAGTGCCCCTTTTACACAGCTAGGCTTCTTTTGGAAGGAAGACAAAGGGGACCTGTGCTTTTAAATGCTAAAAATGAAGGGGGGCAGTTTGTGCACTACCATTCACTGCTATTAGAAAGTGCTAAGTGGTTAGAGCACAGAAACACCTGCACCATTCACAATTGTGAACAATCATTGTTAATGAGACAATAAAAATCAAATAATGTAATGTTCTGAGTCTCCACCATGCAAGTCCATTGGGCTTTGTTTAATCTACAAATGTTGAAATTTTAACACAGATGGAAACCTTGCTCACAGTCACTTATATAGTTTGATACAGTGTGATCCTATAAGATGGCTCAAGATATTTTGCTGCCTGAGGTCCCCCACCCCAGAAGTCAAGACATAAAGCCAGCAAAGTTATTTTGAAAGATAAAATAGATAAAAATATTTTAGCACTTCTTCACTGTCCTGGACAAATTAAATAGATAATTTTCTGTCCTTTCATAATAACCCAAATCTGTTCCCCAAGACAACACTGCCTCATAATAAATGTTCTGTATGTTATTGAGGAATAAGTTAGATGAAAATCTGGTCAGAAGCCTATTAGCTTTCACCATTTGCCAGAACACACTCAGAACTGATCATGTAGCTCAATCTTATGTCATGTAAAGTTGCTGGAACTGCAAGTTTAAATTTCCAAGGCACTAATAATTGACTGTTTTGAAAAGCAGAAGTGAGTGTTGTTTATCTGGCAGGATCCAGCCCTGGCAGAATATAGAGCGGTTACATTTATAGATGGACCCATATAATCATCATCATCATCATCATTATTATTTTTAACCCACCCATCTGCAAGGCAATCGAGGCAGCATACAAAGTTAAAACAAGACAGTTAAAACAATTTAGTCCCCCCCAATCCCTAGCCCACCCACCCCATAAAAGTCTAATTAAACTAGTAGAATAATTAAAATAACAAATAAATCAGCACAGTGATTTAAACCTTGAAACGAACAGTAGTGGCAGGGAGCAGTAGCCATCCAACTCTATTAGGGGTGGGAGAGTTATTCCGGGAAGGCCTGTTGGAAGAGATCTGTCTTTACTGCTTTTTTAAAGCAGTCAAGAGTGGTAATAAGACGGATCTCCAATTGAACCAATTGAAGTTTCTGGGTTAGGCACAAGGGTAGTCCCATGTAGTGTGTGTTACAGAAATCCAAACATGAGGTTACCAGAGCGTGTACCACAGTTTCAAAATCCCTAATATCATAACCTAATATTCTTATCCTGAATGATTTTTTTATCATTATCTGGCAATATAGAAATTGCCTGCATTGTATTAAAGCAGTACAGTTACAATCACACACTTTTGCTGTTACTTGACCTGCAACTACAATTGCCCCTCTGTTTTTTG